ACTCCATCGTTGGGCGTCTAAGTAATTGAGGTCCCCCGCCACTAACAACTCAGCTTGACGAACGGAAAGCTCTGCGAGCTCGCTATTCAATTTCTCACGAAATCCCGGTGGATACGTACCGCACTCGGCTTCGTGTTCAAAAAGGGGACGCTTCTGTACCCGCGATGTGAACGATTACAGTGGTGCTCGCCCCTGGCGAAACCGCTGTAGATGACGAGGAGCTCTTTGAGCGATGGGTGCAGCAACACCGAAAATTTTTATCGCTGTACAACTAATAGTAAAGCTCAAGGATATGGGTACGCGCGTGGAACGTCATTTTCGATATGATTTTGCCAAACACAAGGCGCGTTTCCGACTTCTTTCGCATTGTCGCCCTGTGACGTATGGGTGTATCCATCAAGCTACAGCGAGCTGTGTGGTCTCTCACGCGGGTGAGTCTGCGACCGCAGCGGCTCAGGGCCATAGCTTGAGCTAAGCACATGGCCCTTCCGCTTATCTGGCTGTTGCCGGGGAGCGCGGGTGTACGACGACGCGGTTGTCATGATTCTTTTCTCATTAGCGTTTCGTCTGGGCAGCTTTGCCGAAGTGGCACCTCAAACTCCCCAAGAGTTCGCGGAGTCGGGATATCCCTGCCACCACACAAGATACTGGATTCAACCCTAGCGACGGAGTCGACCCACAAGACATTCTACATGATAGAGGACACCACCGTCCTCGTTGAGAAGAGTCGGTAGAGATTAATGACGACTTGGTCGATCGCCGTCTGGTGACTCTCCGCTGAGCGTCATGCTGAGGTCGCATATCGCTGTGCGGAAGACCTAGAGAGCTTGGAGCACGTTGTGCATCGACGGCCTCACGTTGATGACTTTCGCGCTCTGCCGGAGAGGCTCCTAGCCGTTGAGCAGGCAAACGCATCGCTTCCTGTGAAAGTGGAACGCTTGGGGTTATAGGAAATGAAAATCGTTGCACTCTGTACTCAAAACCAGTTGCTGGGTGGTCGAGCGCCTGTGGGCGCCGCTTTGGAACCAACGCTTCCGCGACTTGCGCCAGATCCCGGTACGGCTTAAGAACGCCGACATAAAACTCCGGGTAGGTGCCTATTCGTTTCGAAAGATTTAGCGTATACGCAAAGCCCCGCTTGGTCACGACCTTGAAAGGTCTAATAAACCGAGGACGGAGCTTCGTCTTAATGATAGCATAAATTGCATGGGTAAGAAGGATTTTTGTATTTGATAAACTCAAGTCTCCGACCCCAAAGCTTTCAACAATTGCTCCACCTCTTCCGTCTGCATACTCCTTCTGCATGTCTTGGCTTTCGGCTATCACGAACGTGTCATAAGACACTAAGTCTGGTAGAGGGGAAATCATCGATTTTTTTACAAACAGTGATGGGGCTGACATCAGTTAACCGCTCGGCTATTCCTCACCCACCAAGCCCAAAGCCATTGAACGACGGCGTTCGTGGGACGCCAGGACTCAGAAGCCCATTCAAGTGGAACAGAGTGTAGCCGGTAGACGCATGCACTGCAGTTTTCAGAGCAAAACACCACAGGTGGCACCATGGTGCTTCAGCGCCTCGGCGACTCAGCGCAGACGTTGTGAGGGCCGTCTTCAACAACGCGATTCACCCGCTCAGTATGACTATCGGTCTGCAGATGGTCCAGTCAACCTGGTGTCCAGCACCCTTGGGATTGTCGACCAAAATTTCCCAGTGAAGTATGGGTCTCTGTCAGAGACAAATGACTCCGGGATTCCATGTTGTCGAAATACACGATCCAAAAACAGCATCACCTGTACCCAGGTGTCTGGCACTACCGCAAGATGAGCCATCTTGCTCAGACAGTCTACAGATACCACGACACCCATGTTGCCCGCCAATTCATTTGGCAGGCCAAACACAACGTCCATACTCATGGACTGCCAACACCCGGAGGTACCAGCAAACTGGCAAGCAGCACCGCCGCATTCAAAGAGAGTATCATCCTTTGAAACGTCTCACACGTTCGCACACATGTGCTCGTCCATTCGTATTGGGCAACCAATAGTGACAACTTACAGAGCTGTACGTCTTCTCACAACCAAGATGACCACTGAGTGAGGTGTCGTGTGGCTCATAGAGAATACGGTATTTAAAATCCTCATCGTGAGGAAACACAATTCGTGGCGTGTCCGTCGAATCGGTGCTATAATACAGCAATCCATATTTCAATGAATATCGGCGCAACCGTGCATGCGGTCGCGACGACAACTTCTTGTCTAAGTCACCAAACCTCTTGCTTCCACGAGCCTTTAGCAGCGCTACACAT